TCACATCAACTCCCAACCTTTAAAATACTAACTTCATTAGCTCCACAAGCATTGCAACCCTTGAAAGCACCATTTGACAAGTGCAGATATTACAGGTACAAAAGAGAGTGAAACCAAACTTATTTCATTTTTACTATGGATCCATTATTCGGCTCTTCAATACCAAAATATTTGAGTAGCTTAATAATATTCTGCTCTTAGCCATGACTACTAAGTCCTTCTATGATATCTTTTATAAAGTCGATATTCCAATTGATCTACATACTTCCAAATAGAAAGACCAGCTTTCTCCTAGTATTACTTTCAACTAAAAAATTACATAGCATAAGAAGCAAATATCAAAGAAAGGCACATTTATTTGGAGTTCTATCATAAGTCAATTGTGGTCAATAAATGAAGAGCTAGAATCAGCTACAATGTTGATACATCCGACCTATTCTATCCATACGTGACAAAATCAATAATGCATTGATTTTAGAGTTTCTTCTATCTCCAATATACTTGAAATTGGTACTTGATTGTACTTCAAGCTCTTTTAAAGCCTACATCTTATCCACACTTCCAATTTAATCTAAATTGGCTCCACTACTTCTTTACCAAAAATATTTTTAAGTAATTTGATAAAGTCAAATTAATCTAGATTTTACTCTAAGATATAATATTTTTGGTGCTATAGCTAAAGCAAAATGCCATAGTTTTTTACAACATGGACTTGCTATTAGACTGCATAATTATAAAACAATGGAAAATTTTTTAAGTCTATGGAAATTTAGAGTAGTATAACCTATCTACTATATTATTCAACAATAATTTCATTACTTACTTTATCTTTATTGGCTTTGATAGCACATGGGGTAGCAATAGCATGATTTTTTTTAGAGTTAACAATTAAGTCATTTGGCATTCTTATTGTAATTGTAGTCAACACACTTTTTTTAAAAGAAAATTTTCATTTATCCTTGAAATATGTGAAAATATCAAGAATATCTTTATATTTTTTATAATTATACATGTATTTCCAAGTTTTTTTATAATTTCAATTATATCTCTAAACTTGATAGCTTATCAAATATATCTAATTTTAGCTCAATTTAGGACCTAAATCATATATTACAAAATATATGGTGTAACACTTTTAGAAACAAATTCCACATTCATTTGCTATTGATGCTGCTAACACTGTATCTTTTTGTTGAAACTTCAAGTGCCAAAAAGACATAGTCAAGGCTAAGAAAGATTTTACTTTGGATTGAAAAACAACAAAAAGAGATGACATACAGCTTTTTCTTGGCAAAGAACAAGTATGAGGAATAAATGAGAGTACACTTAGTACATAATGCAAATAACACCTTACAAGTATTGTAACCATCTTTTTCTAAAAGCTAATATGATTTTAATCTAGGTGCTAAAAAAATATGTAGTACAATTGGAGCTTAGATGATTAAAGCTAAAAAAATTAGTGTTAGAGAAGGCATTTATATAGCATACAATAAATCAATTATTTCTAATTTTTTCTTAAATAAGTGTCTTTCTACATGATGTCAAATTTTGGCACCTTATATATGTGATGTGAGGATAGCCACTATCACTTATCTAATACAGTTCTATTTTGTAATTCCATCAAATGATGCACCTATCAAAAACTTTTCTATGGATATCCTATTTGACTTTGTCTCTACTTTGTTTAAGGATATTAATTTTCAAAAACATTTGATATTTTGGAATGTATATAATTTCATAGTATTGAGGTGTTTCTTGTAGCTTGATAAAGTTTAGAGATCATAATCTCAACAATAGCCTCTTTTAACAAATTTTTTTGTTATATACTATTGATTCTATTTGAATTAAATACATACTACAAGCATGTATTTTCTTTTGTTCAATAAGTTCAATTTGAGCTTAAAATAAGATCTAAAAAAATATCATTTTAACTAAAAATTTTGTCTAACACAACATGCAAAAGTATTAAAAAATGGATCTACCTTGTTATTATTATTTTATTATTTTGAAAAAAAAAAAAAAAAAAAAAAAAAAAAAAAAAAAAAATGGGGGAAGCTATCACTTTTTTGGACCCACAACTTTAATAATCTTGGTATTGAAAACACTTACTTTGAGCACCTCAACATCAAATTTGCAATCTTCTTACTTCAATCAATTGAATAATTACTACATCTCTTAATCCACCATACCAATAATTCCAAATAAAATGCATAAATAAAAGAGCAAAATCAAACATTCTAGCACGTCCTTCTAAACTACACTTTGAGCTTGTTGTGCCAAAGTGATGAAAGTATTTGTTTTTGCAAGCCATTAGGAAAGTATTTGAAGCTCTACAATTACATTGCTTCAAGTTCAAAGTACCAAAAAAACATCTAAAAAGTATTAGAAGGATATCAAAAATAAATAAATAAATAAAAATAAAAATAAAAATAAAAACTTGATATATGCTTGTAAATAATAAAATTAATAAAAATAAAAATAAAAACTTGATATATGCTTGTAAATAATAAAATTAATAAAAATACAAGAAAAATTATTTCAAACTTCAAAGGTTTAGTACTAATAATTTAAAGAATGATAGATTATTTGTAAGTAATTTCTACACAAAAACTAAATTATTAGAATTGAAGTCTTCTTTAATACAAAAAACTTTGGTCTTAATCATCTAAATTCTAAGTATACCACATACTTTCTCAATACCTAGGTTAAAATCATATTGGCTTTTAGAAGAAGATAATGACAATGTTTACAAGGCATTGTTTGCATTGTGTATCAAGTATGTTCTCCTTTGCTCCTCATACATGTTCTTTGCCAAGGAGAAGTTGTATACTAGTTCCTTCTACTATTTATCAATCCAAAAAAAAACCTCTATTAGCTTTGACTATGTCTTTTTGGCACCTAAAGTTTCAACGGAGAGGTATAGTGTCAGTAGCGCCAACAATAAAGGGATGCAAGACCTATTCCCAAAAGTACTGCACTTCACATTTTGTAGTGTTGTATTATCTGAAGTCTTGCTTGAGAATGTATCGAGCACTTGGCTATGCAAGGTAGAAGGAAAATTGCAACAACAAGATCCTAACATTTCTAATAAAATCCTTAAAAAACTCCAATTAAATCTTAATAATGCTAATTAAGATTTAATCAAATCCAAAAGTAATCTTTAAGAAATTACAAAAAAAACATGAAAAAAACTTAAAGAAATTCTAAAGAAATTCTTAAAAAATCATAAAAAAGTAATAAGTACATCTTAAAGAAATCTTTAAAAAATCCAAAAGAAATCCTATATAAATATTAGAAAAAATTTGAATAAATCTTAAATAAATCCTAATCAAATCTTACTTTAATCCTAATTGAAACCTTAATAGACTTTAACTAAATCCTTGGTCAAATCCTAATTAAATCATGAGTCTTAAACCAAATCCTAGACAAACCTTAAATCCTAAATCCTAAACCAAATCTTAGACAAATCCTAAGCCCTAAAAAAACCTTAAATTCTAAATCAAATCCTAAAAGAATCTTAAATCCTAAACCAAATCCTAGACAAATCCTAAACCATAAACCAAACCCTAACCAACTCAAACCAATCCTAAGGTAGATTAGAACTCCAATATCTATTGATTTAACCATTGATCTTGCTTAAAAATTTATACACCTCTCAATCTCTTAGTTAAAAATAAGTACAACAAATTTGAAGATAATTGCACTTACCAAATGGATGAAAAATCCTAAAATCCACTCAAGTATAGGCTGGCCTCCTACTCCAATTTGAATGTTGAACTTCCAATACCAATATCTCTTTATTGAACCATTGGATTTCTCCCAAAATTCACTTAAATTGTTGCAAATTAAGTCTAGTCTCCATATAAAAAATAAAAAAAAAATCACTTCAATCCAATTGATAAATTGCTAAACATCTTAAAAATATCTACTGACCTTCAAACTCCAATTTTTGAGATTTCAACCCACAAAAACCTTCACACACTTTGATCTAACTTTTCGATTGATTTCAAAATTTGCATACACATTCACAATTAGTACACCAAAACTCTAACCAAAATCCACCCTTATACATACCACAAAACTCAAGAAACCTTCAAATGTGTAAACATTGTTTTATTTCTCAAAATCTAAACCAATTGAAAACATCACTAACTTTGAAAATCCTCCCAAAACTGAATATTAATTCAATTGACATAAAACCAATGTCCAAAAATCTCTTTGTAAGTCTGCTCTCAAAGCCCACTTTTTAATCTACCAAAGAACCGTGGAGTCATCATAGGTGCATAGTTTTATGCCTTAGGGTTTGATTTCAACCCACATTGACAATTGGTTCTCTTTGAGTATCAATTCTTAGCTTCTTGAGGTAAATTTTGCTAAAATCTACTCTTAACTCCTTCCTGCATATATCTATATCATTTTATTTCCCAATCTACTTTGTTTTGCCTTATTTATGGCCCTACAAAGTAAATAGAAGCCTATTTCATAAACAAGCAGCAATAGTATCTTTTACTATCTTTTTGACTACTACCTATTTTCTAGGATAATTTGCTATGATATTTTAAAATAAGATCTTCTATAATATAATGTTTTCCTCTCTCTTTCATTCATTAATCATGTAACATCACAATAGTGGCACACAGTTTGGGCCTCAAAATGAGCAAAACTAGATATATTTGATAAGCTATTAAGTCCAAGGGTACAAATTCATGAGAAAATTCATGGGTACATGTGTAATTATCAAAATTACAAGGATATTCTTGGTATTTCCACATATTTCAAGGGTACAAATGAAATTTTCCCTTCCTTAAACCCAATAAGGTGGGATGCATGCTAACTATCTGTCTAGTCACTAGTCCAGTCAATTACAGGCGGGGGTTTTCAACTCTGTTCTGTCTGGCTCTGTATTAGTCTCTCCCTGCAATTGAATTTTTTTTCTTTTGTGCCATAAAATAAAATAAAATAAAATCCTCCTCCTCCTCCTCAGGGCTTCTTCGACTGTTCCATCACTGCCTCCCATTTCGCTGCGCATTCTTTCATTGACCCTGAATCGATTGCGCAGTTGACAAAAACGGCGCAATCGCAAGTGGCGGTGGCGGTGGCGGTGTTGGCGTTGGATTTCGAGAACAGAAATAGGAAAACGACTGTAGCTCTGTTCCGGGAGTTGCATCGGACTTTACTCTGTGTTGCTTTGTGTGAACTTGACGTTTTCTTGGTGGTGGAATAGAATCGGTCGAGTTTTGGTGGTAATTTGAGTAGAAGAGCATTGGATGTCGAAGTGGTTGGAGTTTAGTCGCTGCTTGAGGTTAGTTAGTTGATGAAGGGCAGGGTGTAAAAATCGGTGAGATTTCGGTGAAGTTCGTGGTTGGATTGGATAATTGTTCACGTAGTGGTTTGAAGTTTGGGGTTTCGCGTGCTGTCGAGCAATGAAACATTTGCCCGAGGGCACGGACCCGCGGTCGGGATATCGGAGCAGCGATGGAATCTACTTCAGCAAGCGGAAGCCGGTGTGGATTCCACAGGCTTGTGATTTGGATTTGGGAAGTTATGTGTTCGCCCCTCAGTTTGGGGATAAGAAGGCTCTGATGGACGCTCCAAGCGGGAGGCATTTGACCTACGATCAGCTGGAGAGGCAAGTGCGAGCGTTGGCGGCAGGATTGTACAAGTGCCTGAACGTTCGGCAATACGATGTTGTGATGCTTTTGTCTCCGAATTGTATTGAGTTTCCCGTAATCTTCTTAGCTGTAGTATCGCTTGGAGCAGTGCTGACGACGGTCCATCAGGCGAACACAGCGGGGGAGGTTCAGAAGCAGATGAAAGACTCAGGTGCGGTTTATTCTCGCTCGATCGTTGCCCATTCGATATGGCTTGGTTGCTACTCCGCTTGATCGGCAGATTCAGTCTGCCACAATGTGATGAATCTGTTCTTCATGGCAAATACATAATTGATAAATAAACTAATGGGATGTTGCTTTAGCTGTCACGCGTATGATAAAGCAATTAATGCCTGAGCTCCGATTCTCTTCGGGTTTACCTTGGGCAAGACAATTAGCCAACCTTGTGATTGTTGTTATGGAAACCTTTGTGATCACGGCAATACACCCATCCATGGCACGTTCCGGAGGGTTAATTTGTCAGAATATAACAGATGTTTTCGAAAGTCTAAGATGATTATACTAGTTGTCCTATAAATTGGCGTCATTTGAATCTTGCAGGGACAAGGCTTATATTCACGACGGCTGCTCTAACGGAGAAGATTGCGGGGTTCGATCTACCTGTGGTGATTTTTGGAGATGATGAGGTTGTTCCTGGTTTCAGCAGCAAGCCGATCCACCAGTACACAGAATTGCTAAGAACTGACCCATATGGTGTTCCAAGGTAAATTATGAATGACCCACCGAAACTTTCTTTCCATTTTCTACTAGAACTCATATATTTAGATGTGTTGTGTGGTAATTAGGGACATGAATAATCTATTGATGTACAACTACACCCACGGAAGGCTTACTGTGTTTCTCAACAAAAAGGGTGAATTTTCCCTAGTTATTCTGGTTGCAAATTATGTCATGAAAGCGCTTGGAAATCATCAGTAGTTTTTTGTCATTTGTGACCACTTCTGTAATGTTTTGGAATCATGAAACTCTTGCAAGAGGGGCTCTATTGAAGTTATCTCTGGATTGTTTTGGAAACTATTCCTAAGCTTTATCACTAGTTCAATTTTGGTCTCCTCTTTTTGTCTTTTTTGTAATCTTTCCTCACAGTGTGACTAAAATTATTATTTTGATGATGTTCGTTTATGCAGGGTTAAAATCAAGCAGCATGATACGGCTGCTCTGTTGTACTCATCTGGCACCACCGGGACCAGTAAAGGGGTGGTCCTTACGCATAGAAACTTCATCTCATTATGTTGCATGTTGAACGCCGGGAGCGATGAGACGCTCTCGCCTGATGATGTTCTTTTGCTTTTACTCCCAATGTTCCATGTTTATGGGCTTGGAATTTGCACGGTGGCCTCTTTGGCTCGTGGAATAATGCTGGTTGTGATGCCTCAGTTTGACTTCGTGAACATGCTCTCGACCATTCAGACCTACAGAGTTACCCATTTGCCTTTAGTGCCCCCAATTGTCATTGGGTTGGCAAAGCAGGACATTGTGTTCAAGTTCGATTTGAGCTCTTTGGTACAGATTATAAGTGGGGCGGCTCCTCTGGGGAAGGAAATGTTGGAAGCTTGTGCTAAGCGACTCCCAACCGTCCAATTTAAGCAGGTAGGCTTTATTTCTCACAAACAGGTATGTTCTAAAGTTTAAAGCGTAAGTTTGTTTAATACAATGTGTCTTCAGGCCAATAGCGTCTAATTCAATGACTGACAATATTAGGGATATGCACTGACGGAATCAACGGCTGGTTGCACCACATGCCCAGTTAACGTCGATGATGCGGCAGCTCATTTTGGCAGTTCTGGTTGGCTTCTTCCAAACATGGAGGCTATGGTTGTTGACCCTAATACCAACCAGCCCTTGCCCCCCACCAAGGAGGGAGAGCTTTGGATCCGGGGACCAACCATCATGAAAGGTAACAGAACTACACTGCAGATTGTTTACTATGTGTTTGATGAGTTATTCTTTATTTATTAAAAGTAAAGCTTTGATGAAATATCGAATATCACTCTTGATGCTGAAGTCATCGACATAGAATACTAGTCTTAATCAAACTTCTTATTTTTATGTGTAGGGTATTTAAATAATCCCAAGGCAACATCAGAATCCCTTGATAAGGATGGTTGGCTCCACACTGGTGATCTTGTTGTAATCGACAACGACGGATATCTTGATGTTAAAGACCGACTGAAGGAGCTTATCAAATACAATGCATTTCAGGTTAACCTAAAATTTGTTTTAAAAGCTGTTGTCTTGATTGATTGTTCCGCCAGAGGGCTTTGCAGTGAGTTCACGTCATTTGCCGGTTAATACCTGTCTCATGCGCTGCAGTTTCTGTTTCTTGTGCTGCAGTCATGGCGAGTACTTTGACTTGCATAACGTTGTGGATGAATTTGAAACACATGGGTGCCCTAATGGAGTTGTTTTCTTACCTGGGGAAGGGCTAATACTTGGTTGGTTTAATTGTCCATGATCCACTCTGCCCTTACTGTATCAAAGATTATATTGGTTACATGGCGTCCGATTACATTCATTCTTTTAAATGGATGCTTGGTTTCCTTGATGTAGGTGGCACCTGCTGAGCTCGAAGCTTTGTTACTATCCCACCCAGCTGTCCTGGACTGCGCAGTCATTCCGTAAGTGTGGTGTCATTTTTCCTGACTTCCAATGCAATATTCAATGAAGATAGCAGTTGCGAACCTCTACTGGCTGGAATTTTAGTCGTGAGTATGGTCGTAATGGTGAGAGTACATCTGGAAATTGTAGAATAACGTGAAACAAGTATTCAAGAACATGAAATTGTAATTTACTAACTGCTAAATATTTTATTGGACTCAATATATCAAAGCACACTAAAATTTGCCGCACTCAGATATCCGGATGAGATTTCTGGCGAGATTCCGATGGCATGGATTGTGCGACAGCCGGAGCAACAGCTTAATGAAGACGAGATCATGGACTGGATTGCGAAACAGGTAGATTATTCCTCGATTTTCTGAACGGAATAAGTCTTTGTATATCCCACTCAATCATCCAGTAACTGATTCTGCAACTTTGTCATAAAGCATTAAAATAGTCAGGAACCTTGCAGCCATGAAGTGTTCATGTTCCGTTAAAAAATCCTGTAAACCTGCAAATGAGCATCAGATGCAATCGTGTCATTGAGAACGACTATGTGGGGTGGAATTTTACAGGTGGCACCGTACAAGAAAGTGCGGAAAGTCGCTTTCGTTGATGCAATTCCCAAGTCTGCATCAGGGAAAATTCTACGCAAAGACCTAGTGCAGTTGTCAAGAGCGAAATCAAATCTCTAGGGTGTGCCGGTTGGCTATTTCATGCAGTTGATCAGTTTCTGTGCTCAGTTCAGCAGGCAGTTTATTTATTCAAGTCACCAAATGTAATAGGTTCAGTAATCCTCAGTATTGGCGCCAGTAATAGATGATGACGCCTTGTTCCTTGTACTCCACATCAATGGTCACTGGTGTCCCATGCCAATGCCTACACCAGATCATGTCTGGATACACATCTTGTGCTAATACTCGCCCTTCAGCACATCGTGTATTTCTATCACTAAGGAACCCCCTTTTAAACCACATTAATCTGAGCCATCATGATTAACAACTAGCTACATGATTAAAGCGTTGTTAAGCACTGATCGAACTTCTGTTTTAGCCATTATCAAAAGAACTAAGACAAATCACAACTTGTGAGTAGAACCACGAACATGAACAACGAACATGAATAGACGATTAAAACTTGATAGGGCACAAAGGTGCATTACCTACAAGTAACACAACACTTTGTGAAAGTAAAAAAAAAAAAAAAAAACAATTGTGCCGAAATCAAGTCAAACTTACGCAAGCGACATATGAATAAATAAAGAAAAAGTTAGCACATTCTTTAACACACTGAATTCCAGACAATTTCATGGCAGGGCCGTTACTAACATCGATTCACATCTTAGAATAAGATCAGTCGTGTCGAAAAGGATTTAAGAAAGAGTTGCAAAACAGTTACATGTGGAAAAACTTGATTTCATTCGAAGCAACAGCATCAACAGCAACACTTCCATCATCCTGCTCTGATTCGTTCTTATCTTGTTAAACCAAATCAAATTCTAAACTTCAGAATAGACTGCTGGAACCGGTAATGTTGATGGCAAATACCTTCAAGAGTCTGGCGCCTTAACTTCAGGGTTCAACAAATTGCTAGGTTGAGGCACAAACAAAATCAAATCAAATAAATAAAAATGAAGATAAAAAAAAAGGATGGAAGATCAAGGCAGGGGTGTTGGCAGAGGCTGCCAAGGATACATAAGAGTTGCAATAGACTCGAAACAAATATACACTTGAATGGGGAAAAACATGGTGTGTAACCGTGTAATGAAGAGGTGCACTTTCATATATGATCTCGTCGATCTTGGTCGATTATGTCAGGGATCCTATACACTTCTAAAAACAAGCAGAGCAATGCTACAAACTATCAATTTTCGTTCAAGTGCAGAAAATTCTAAGTCAAAAAAGAAACTCAATTCTAGCGACTTTGTGCACCCAAACCCTAATTTGATAAGGGCGAGAGACCCCACTAAAAAGTTGATCTGAAGTGAATTGCTGGTTTCTTGTAATTTATGATCCTCCACATACTACTTGGTGGTGACTATTACATAAAACTCCCCACTGCCGTAATACCAGACTATGGTGATGGTTTCGCTAATGCAAGCTCATCATTGAGTCCCGCATGCCCAGCAGTATTTCCAGTTGCTGGTCGTAAAACTCCTTTGTAAGCTTCAGCTGCTGTTTCCGTTCCTGGTGGAATCGCTCCAGCCAATATTCAGAAGCCCTGCCAGTTTGCCAGAAATTGGTTAAATATTGACAACGTTGCACTGTGACCCCGACGGTGACATTAAGCTAATCACTTATAAATGCAGTGCGTAGTGGCACGTGTCATTTCATCCCTGACTGACCAGGAGTTATTTCACATCAGAAAATATGTTGGAAAGGACATCTTAAACAAATACTTTGATCATGATGTATGAACAAAAGCTGTAGATGGTGAGCCATACAATATATACCTACAATCAGATCTAGCATTCGTACTATCAATACTGTAAATAAGAATTATAATTTTGTTTATTCTAAACTTGATTAAAAGTAAAAAATGAATGAATATCACTTGATTCTTTCACTGAAATTTTTGAGATTTGGAACCCTATAAATACTGTACCTTTTGAATTTACTGTAACAACAACTCTATAAGATTCCAGCACATACCATGATTTGAACAAAGGAGCAAATTCAACATGTTTCTAATCAAATTTTTATAAGATGAGCCATGATAGATGAAATTTATCAAACAACCTCACCAGACCCATACATTTCATGCAAATCTATAAGTACCAGAAGACACGTTTGAGGTGTTCCAAAAGTAGACATGAGATGTAGTACCTGTTCTTTATCAGAGTAGAGAGCTCCTTTAGTTTAACCGCATCAGGATAAACTCCGGGCTGCACATCCACACCGAAGCTGTGATTTCAGCACATTGAATACGTCTCCATGAAGCATTCTCCAAACAGCACCATAAGCAATTCACATATACCGGATGGCTCGTGATAGATTTAGAATGCTAGAAATGCATATCTATTGAGCTGCCACGATTCTTAGGCCCACACACAAGCCTTCAGAAAGTAAAAGGCTACAAGAGCAGAAACGACACTAAACATTATAGAGCAGTCTGAACATACCTGCCGGCAAATGGCGCATTGTGCATCACAACGAGCGGCCCGAGGACCTTCATGTCCCAACACTTTGGCAGCAGTGCATGCACAATTGTTGCAGAATAGATGGCCACACCCTAGAGCTACTGGTTCAAACAATGTGTCCTGTAATGGCAGAGAAATATTCATATGCCAAGATGTTAGTAAAGTATGTCACATGTGCCTGTGTACAAATAGAACCCATCCAGATGCATAAGCTGAGCAGATTAGCGTTGAAGGAGCGAAATGGAGGCCAAAGGTACATACAAGGCATATGGGGCATGAAAGGTCGAAGTCCAGCGTTGCAGAATCCACGAGCGTGCAGGAAAGGGTCGGTGATGAGCTGTCAAAGTTGCACGAAAATTCTCCAACCAGATCTGCTACTGACGAGGTGTCCTCCTTAGCATCAGCAAGGTTCAGATGCAGCGCTCCCAATTCAACTAAATAAGGTGACTTCAAAAGCTCGCTTCGCATTGCCATTAAACGACTTTTTAATATACCCCCTTCTCTCGATTTGTGAACCTGCATATGGAGATATATCTTAGAATCTGCAATGCAAAAATATAGTTCCACATTCTTGTCGTATGGCGACGCACAGCGCCTTTAGTCCCCTAACAGCTATCTGAGGAACTATACAAAAGAGAGCTCCAGAGAAATAGGAGCAGATCACCACCCAACAACAATCAACCCTGAGAAATCTCATTCCTTCCCACCACCACCACCAAGCTTCACCATATGGTAGATGCTCGAAATCAGGATAGCGAGAAAATGCAGTAGAGTACCTTGTCATATTTTTTCAAGATTTTTCTAACAGCGATCGCATTCATTGAGGCATAACTAATGAGAAGCTGGCCCTCCTGAATCATGGCTTTACGATTGTTGCGTTTCCGTCCCAACAAATACTTTTTCAATCCTGATGCCCTGTGCAGCTTGACCAATTGCTCCGCACGGGTATTGAAGCATCCCACCACCTCCGCCAACTCCTCCATCAGGATCCCAAAAAATTTTGCATCACAACCTGCAGATTGTAACCGTTCAGTATGATGCAAAACTACAGTGGTGCTGCTCCGTCATAAATTCGGAGCTTTTCGCAAATAACAGTGGAAAAGACGAAGTGATTCTTACACTGAACGTATTCGAACTAAACATAAGTATAGCGAAGTTGACTCTCAATGCACCTCGGCATCAAGTACACACCCTTTGCCACAGAATGCATCTCCACAGACGTGCTGCACCATGGTTTAAGCAACGAGCATTCGGATGGTGCTTTGAAAAAAGGGCCCATTTCGGTACAATCAACGTACCAGGGCAAGACGTAGGACACACTCCATTTGTCAACGCCGAAACAGGCGGGCCTTTTCTTTGCTTTTTCTTAGTCTGGATGCATGCAATGACCTTCAGACCTGCTGTTGAGTTGGGTCGTGGATTCCCGGTGCAAGAGTGTGAATCGCCACAAGAGAAGGTCAAAGTATCAACATCGTCGCCGGAGTTGGCAGTGTCATGCATTGTACATTTCTTGAGCACTTTCTTCAACTTTTTAAACTCAACGTAAGAACAGCCTGCCAGTTGAACGCTGGCCTCCTTCTCGATGAACTCGGTGTAAGTTTTGCCAAATTTCATGATTACTGGCTTACATGAATGACGGTCCACTTCACTCCCAACGTCTAGGTGGTTTTCTTGAAAGAACGATTCTGACAAAGAAAACTCCAGAAGTCCTCTTTGAAACGGAACCTGTAGTATTGCCGAAGTAGTGCTCAAAAACGCTGTATAAATTCGACGCACCGTTTCGAAAAACTAAGCGAGTCTTTGAAAGCATCTATTAAATGATTTAGACTTAGCACTCAACATCCAAAAACATTAAAGTATTGGGTACAGCTTCTACCGAGCTGAAGATATAACCACGGATACTAACTTTCGCACGCGAATATTAAAAACCTCACCGAAATACAAACAGAGAGAGAGAGAGAGAGAGAGAGAGAGAGAGAGACTCGATCCAAACAAACTCAAAAAACGTTAAGACAAAAAAATAAAAAATAAAAACTCTGGTAACCAATTCCGCGACACCCAGAGAACGCCTGCTAAAACACTTCCAAAACAGCAAACAATCAACCACCACACTTCAGACACTCAATCCATAATCAGCACCGCCAAGGTAAGCGTCATGCCTCTTCTTCCTGCGACAGAATGTAAAATGGACACCAAGAAACGTCGTGGAAGCCTTTTCCAAGTCCCCGCAAGGTGCTGCAAGTAGGAAGCGGGGGAAGGGGGACGGCGGGGGGGGGGGGGATAGTCTGAGATGGCGAGAGCAGGAAGGAGCAGGTTCGATTGATGACATGTAACGACAAGCCAGCAAGGATGGACTCTCTACCGAAACTTGCAGGTGCTTCGAAGCTGCATTATGCCGCCAAAGCCGCAATGAATCTGCATCTCCGCTAGATTCAGCTTAATCTGTCTTCACCCCTCTGTAACTCAAATGATTCATTCCCACCTTTTATCTGTTTCCTCCTCAGAAAGCACAACAACAACAACCATAGGTCGGCGCCACCACGAGACTTCACTCAATTCTTTCTCCTATAAATAGATAACACGAAAATTCACGCACAACTCGTTGCTGCCTCTCTCTTTCCTCCCCGCACAAGTGACGGCTCGCTTATCACTCGAAACTTGAGCACCACAACCTCATTCAATAAAATCAAATAAAACTCATTCATCGCAATTACCCTATTCCAATTCTTTCTACAGTGATTGCAAGTATAACCTCCTCCTCCCTCCGTCTTCCCCGATCACCGAGCTCCATCGGTGGCCTGCAAATCATAAAACAAACAAATCTAGGGTTTGACCTGTGTTGGATAGATGACATCCACCGTTAGTTACATCCATCATTCTCTCATCCATATAGATTGTGCCGCCGTGGCTATTGCTTGTGTCGTAAGCTAAACGGGACCTGCCCTCGTGGCTTAGTAAGGTGGACACGTGTATCCCCCGCCACCCACGCTCTCATCCTGATTTTGCTTAGCTGGCATAGACCTGTCCCTTTTCTTTCCCGCTTCCACTTATCTTTTTCTTTTTCACTATTATACTTTTTCATTTATGTTTATATTGTCTTAGCCTTGTCTTTTTCTTTCACTATTCCCCCACCTGGAATGGTTGACCCAGTTTTCTTCGACCCTTGGGTAGAACATGCATAGAAGCCATTAGTGAATTGCATGTGATTTTTGAGGGAAGCCCATTTATTCATGATAGAATGCAAATTTAGCAAAATATAAAGTATGTGGGTGGCATTCACACTTACATCACTCTTGGCAACAATGTGGGAGGAAGTCTTTAAGTTGCTTTATTATTGTGGTAGTCTAACATGCACATGTCCATGAGCATCCACTCATCTTATTGGAGTGTGCATGATTGCTTAATATGCTGCTAAGCATCCACCATTGTGTCTTATTATAGAGATTAGGGGTAACAATGCATGGTGGTGAACAATAATAATAGTTGATTAGATTTTTTTGTTGAGAACCAAATAAGGATTTATCCAAGATTGTCTTGTTTTCTTAATTTATCTTCAAAGTATAGTAGGCTCAAAGTATCCCACAGACCCTTGTGTAAAATTCCAACAGCTACATTTCAACAATACATGTATTTGTAAAAAATAATTAAAAGTATATATATATATATATATATATATATATATATTTTACTCAAGGGTATGTGTAAATTTGTATTGTTTTTTAGATTTTAGGTTTTATAATTTAGTATATTAATGTTATTCTAGAGACATTTATCTAAAAAAATCAGAAGTTGTTACTTTTAACAAATGCCAATACCTATAAGCAATACTTCAAGTAACATAAAATGCATAACAATATCACACATTTACAGAAAGCTATGGAATCATACATATTAGTGTCCAACAAACATACCTTCATTTACATTGTGCACAATGAAAATGTAAATGAAAACATTCACACTTCTATAAAATATAACACCAACATTACAATTGCATTCCTGTATTTTACATTCAAAGTATAAAATCATGCATTAAAATTAAAAATTACACCAAGGATATTCTAGTTTAAAGCTCATTGTATTAATACATCACTCCTAATAGAAATAATCATAATCCACATGTAAAACGATAGAAAAATATTAATGGTATGATTCAATCCATCTTTTTTTCTTTTTTTCTTTTTGCATGCATTGACATATCTAATTAAATAATTAACTAATTAATTTTGATAGTTTAGATTATTCACAAGAAATAATGTACATGGTTTTTATGCTTTCTAGTTGATTTCATTCTATAAATAAATATAAATATATATAAATATATATATATATATATATATATATTCCCTTTTCTTCTCCAGCTATTTTGTTGTCCCCCTTAAAGTAAATCAAGGTGGGAAAATGCTCAGTCATGAGTAATATAGAACTTTGAGTGAAGAGCATTGCAACAAAAGGCACGGAATTGGGGTTCCCCGGTCTAAGTGCGGAGTCCTACAGCCGCAGTCAAGATTCATTGCACGTGGTCTAGTACACAATATATTCATTGCACGTGGTCTAGTACACAATATATTCATTGCACGTGGTCAAGTACAAATACCTCAACACTATTTTTACAGATCAAAAATTTAAAAAATCTACTTAGTTTAATGAATATAAAATTTCATTAATTTCATTATATATAATTATAGGATATAATGTATTTAATATCAGATAAATTTATTTTAATAAAGGGTTGTGTAATAATTATTATTGATCAACACATTTATACCATTTAACTATAATAGTAGTTTATTTGTTGTGGTCTCTAAATGCTTGTGTTATTATTACTATTAGATACATTTTTTAAACTATTTTATTCGAGATAATATTATATTTATATACTTAGGTTTTATTTCTTCTTTCTATTGCACTAATTTAATTATTTTTCTGTATTTTCTAAAAAATGAATTCTTAATACTAATTATTGGTAAAGATTTTAAAATCAATCAAAAATAAAATAAATTTACTTACAGAAATTTTAAAAATAAATAATATATACTACTTTTTGATTTTATATTGTTTGTAGTGCTAAACATTAAATACCTTTGTTCGAAAAAATTGTTAGTATTTTAATTTTTTGACATATTCAGAATAAAACTCAGTAAAGTTTTTTTCAAACATGATTAATTAGTATTTAAAAAATTTCAATGTAATATTAATCTGATAATGCAAAAAAAAAAAAAAAAACAAAACAAAACAAAAAACAAAAAACAAAAAAACAAAAAAACAAAACAAAACAAAACAAAAAAAAAAAAAAAAAAAATACTATTTAAAGTCAAAACTATAGAAATGGAACATTTAAATAATGTAACCCTTCTACAAAACATTCTTACATTTAAATGTATTATTTAAGACACCTTAAATATATTATATCTAATTTTTAGATATTAACTATGCAAATTAATACAAGTGGTAATATCATTGTAGTTAAAAACTACAACAAATTTATGTTCAACTTTAAAAAATTGGATAAAAACTTTTGGACACCAACATTGTGATGGTATTATTAGAAAATAATTTAAAATTAGTATTTTTATTTGTTTTTAAAACTAAAAGTATCAATTTTACCTGATTTTAGGTCTTATAATAATATCATATGAATAATCTTAATAGTAAAATTAGCAATACAAAATGTATTCATGTCACAATTTTATAAAAATATAAGAATTTTATATTGCTATTGCCTAAATACTTAGTATGGATATTGTGCCAATAATAATCATTATTAATAAAATTAATATATTAGAAATAAAATCAATAAAAAAAAAAGTGAAAGAGTTTTATAAATATAATGTATAAAGACTCTATTTGTTCACTAATGTGTATGATAAAAATTTCTATTACTAAATATTATAAAGTGGGTGTGTGTGTATATATATATATATATATATATATATAGGATGTTTTTTCAATTTTTTTTGAAGAGCATGAGATTAAGGGTTTTTTTTGTAATATAATATATACTACAATTTGATAAAAATATAGGGCAAAAGTTTCATGTTTTATTTAAAAATTGAAGGTATATATTCCAACATAAAATACTTTTTGAAACTTATTATAAACAAAAGATTATAATTATGGCACTTTAAGTTCTATATAAATAATCTATTATAATTATAGAGTTATATAATTTTTAAGAAATATGATAATAGATAAAATATTTTATCTAACATTTTGTGTTTTTAATTGTGATACATTTATACATGTTTTGTATGAAAGATGCTTTAAATTTGAGTTTAATAAATATATTAGATGTTTATAATTATATTGAAAGTGATAAAAATTATTATATTTATAATATAAAAATAAAAATATTTTAAAAGATGTATTTGTTAAAAAATATTTAATTCATTTGTAACTTTAGGTTGTATTATATTTTTTTTAGGATAAGTAAAGAATAACTAATTATAGTTACCATGGTTATATAAATAATTATAGTTGTGAGTTAAAATAACCGAAGATTTAGAATAAGAAAATTATTGATAATAAAAAATTGTAATTTTATTTATTTACACCAATAGATTAAATTAGATGTAAGTAGACTTTAAAACCAAGCATAAAAAAATAATTAAATTGAGTACTATAAAATAAGATTAGGGGATATTAAACATGGGACTTTTACAAAATCAAATAATTAGGACTCAATGCTTAATACTTCTAAGCTTGATCAATATATCAAATCAAAAATATCATCATTTAAACTTTATTACTCCTTGATATTATCTCCTAATTCAAACTTTAATGCTTCTCTAGTATCGAATCAAAGAGAGAAGGGAGTTGAGGCAAGCAATGTGGTTTATGATATTTAATGTGCTCCTCTTTTGATATTTCAATTTCAAAATCACCTACCTTGCAAGGTGGGTGATTTGGTGAAGTATCAAGTAGTAATTTGAAATATCATAGGATATTTTAAGCTTGCATCATAGATAAAATATCACCTAAAAAGGCCATACTTGAAACCCCCTATTAGTTGGAAAAAGCTATACACAAGAAAAACATATTGATTACAATAAGATTTTGTTGTAAAAAAATATATCAATTTAAAATAAATAATTATAATATTAATTACAATTAAAATATATAATTATTTATTAAATAGATGGTAAGATTTTAATTTTAAATATAGTTTTTAAAGAATATGGATATATATATACATATATACATATATATAAACTCATTAAAGTTTTGTATTTAAAAAAACAAAATTAGATTTGGTTGATTAGATTATAAAGATTCTATATAAACTTAAACAATATCTTAAATCATAATATAAAAAATTAGACAAGTATTTTTTATTTTTAAAGTTTAAATTAAAATATAAAATATAAAATATAAAATATTTATATTTATATATTTTTTAAAAGCTACTAGTAATTAATAGTAATTATATGATTGATATTATCTACTAAAAGCATTGTATGACCTTTCAAATTAATAATTATTGAAGCAAGTAGAATTTTAGTGGAAAACGAATATGTTTGATTTAGAATGTATTTTTCAATAAATTATACACTTGGGTTATAAAAGTCCAAACTAGATACTCATTTCAAGTATGTTAGTCCTTTTGGATCTTTTTTATTTAGATGTTTGCATACTATGTTCATTTCCTACTAGCATGCTCTTTTATAATCAACTCTAACATTTCTAAACTACTTCAAAGTACTTAGTACTTGCCTTCTACTAATACATCACATTCTTGTACAAAAATTGAAATATACATCTCTAAACTATTTCTTTATTGTCCTTATTCTTGTATACTACTACCTAGTTGTCACGAGCTTTCAAAATATTATTTAAAAATTTACAAAAATTTATTAAACAACATAGTTACAATCATTTTACATGCATGTATGTATGTATATATTTATTCTAGTTTTGTAGTTGTCAATAACATAAACAGAATGGTACTAAAGCCAATGTTGGAATGTGACAAATTGGGAAACAACTTAAAACCGAGGGCTAAACTGTAGCAATCTCACAAAAATAGACAAATTATTACCAACGCACACAAACAGCAAGTCATTTACCCATTTTGTTCGATTTTGAAATTCCAACAAAAGCAGTGGCCAGATTCAGTTCCGAGTTTGTTGGTGCCGTAAGCAGAGAGTGTCGGTGCATCGTTTTCTCCGTCGTTGAATTGGAAGGCTCGTCGCATAAAACTGGGTCCTGCTCCTGCAGTTGTTGCGGTCGCAGTGTACACATTTCGCTGAGAGTCCATCACCCCGATGAGCCCCACGAGCTCCTTTCCCAACCTCAACGAAACAGGCGCATCGAGGCATTCGTGATATTCAAAGCCATGGTTTGTCTGCAACTTGAATTCGGAAGTCCTGGTCTGAGAATGGCACAGCACCGAGCCGATTCGATAGAGGCACTAGGAGACGCAGAATACGTTGTCGAAGACGTAGATCAAAAGGATAGTGGTTCAATGACGATCTGTTGAAATGGGATACTGAGTCTCAACCCCACTAGCCCACGATTGGTAGAAATATACATATGCTTCAATATTGTCGAAACCAGAGATTGTGTTCGTAAGCCTACATTTAGCACGACATGGGCAGTGATTTTCTCTGAAACAGATACCGATTCCACCCACAGACACATAAGTTGTTCAACCAAGATAATGGACTGTACGACTGTAAACGTGTGTGAGCACTGTTGAGGTACAAGACAGAGGCGGTTTTCGATGAGCACAAGAGTGTGCATGCGAACACGTGGAGGTGGAAACGTTTACCTTCGCAACGATGAATAGTCCAGCCGTGTTTCATTTCTAACGCGTGATGGCAGATCACAGGTCACCACAGCAGATGGGAAGCCATTTTTAGAACCGACCACATTATGGTGGTGCGCACATGCAAGTGTGCACCATGTGAAGCCGAAAGGGAATAGGGGAGTATCGTCTACTTCAGCAACCGCAGTTGGCATATCCTGACACCCGGAAATGATCACTCAAGAATAGAAAACGGAAGAATATGCTTCAGCAGAAGACCTCTTTCATTGGTGGCAGGATTGAAAATAGACTATTCGAGGTGCGGTGCAGTACTGTGAAAGTGAAAATGCTGGTTTTTCTATCACAGCTCATGTTTTGCAATCGAGAGCTAAGCTGATGGTTTGAATGTTGGTAAAAGCTTACCGCCTGACGAGGTTCGTAGAAAGTTTCTCTGGATGATATTAGTGCGATTGAGTAAGAACAACGGCATCATTGACAACGTTCATGTGGTCAATTCTGTAGCTAAATGTGAGAAGGGAATACCATGAAAACTTCTCTAAAAGTTCAAGCATGATGAGACATTCTGGTGGAGTGTCAACATTGGAGGACAAAACAAGCTCTCAAATGCAGACAATGTCACAGCTGCTGCGTTGAATTCACGGACAGTCTCAAGCGTGTTAACGTACCCAGTAGACATGATTGACGGCACTCTCACCACACATACCGGAAGGCGGGAATCCTTGTGCATAGCTACATATAGTAATCGGCTGAGGTCGTGCTATAACCTAACATGATTTAGAGAGAAGCTTGGCGAGGCTGAAAGATAGAAAATGAGACAAGAATAGTTTCTATAGTGAAGTGCGGTGCCCACTCTCCAGCAACCGCAACAAACACGGTAAGGTGTGCGCGCAAGTTGTTTATTCCTGCTTGATCTGAACCACAACCTAAACAACTTTTTCTTTCTCCCTCTCTGTTCCACGAGTATAGGTATGCGGCTCAAATGGTGTATTGTGCAGTGGGCGTCGCACAAGTACAACACTGAAATGTAGTTGTGGGGCGCGGGGACAACTGGAGAGATTTCTCCTAGCTTGGTACAGAAGCTGTCACTGGTGACGATGATCGACCCTCAGCCTATTACGTTTGGCGGATCACAGGAAGTTCTACCTCTTGATTAATTACGATGGTGTAAGGTTGGGTTCTTACAGGGCACTTGGCGAGACCGGCACGCGTATAGAAAGAAGGGGTGCCGTCGAAGCGTGAAGCACCATCGATCAGGTGAGCACGCATTCTCGATTTTTATCAAGTCATGCATGGACTTGTGTAATTCACTTATTTGATTTCTGGCTTGTGCCAGCGTCTGTGTAGCATTGATTGACTCTCTTGCCCACTCAACCCAATAGTTTTAGTTCATCCTTGCGCATTGTGATGAACGCACGCTCTCACCCAGAATCTCTGCCACTTCCCGGTGCTCACAGGGGCAATCTGAATTGTAAGAGGTCTCGTAAGGACGTTTGTGACTTACCTGCAGCATTGAATCTATCTTTCAGCGGTACGCAATTAAACCTGTTCATTATTTTTGGATCCGAATCGCTGTTTTTTCTCCAACCTTGTTGGGTCAGCAAGAGGGAGGAATTCATCCGAAGTACAGCAGTGTGTGGTCCACGGTTCGCTTTGTCCTCTGATCACTTCCTACCTTTCACGTTTGTACATGAAGCAGTGTGTAAGTTGTAAAAGATGCTGGACACTTCGACAGTACAGGCCCGGAGGGCAAGATCGAGGGAGCCGTCTCAAATCCCAGAAGAAAAGATCACCATGATAGGCGAGACAGACATGCCCCAAGGAATGCAATCACATGCGCTACGCGTAGCGTCGGAAGCCTTGAACTCGCACAACGTCAACGACTGCAAGGAGATTGCTTGCTACATAAAGAAGGTAAGACAACAGAGTTGTACGCGAATATGGCAGTGCAATCCTTCAAATGAGGCAATTGTGTCACGATTCCCTTCAGAAGTAGATTGCAGTGGAATTCATCATAAACTCGCTGCAGAAATATCCTCGAAGCTGATTCTACATCGACAGTAGCATTCCCCCACACTGTGCCCAGCTCAGCGTTTGGCCACAGGAAGCTTACCGTTATGTCGCACAAGTACTGACAAGATCTATTCATACCGTGGAAGAACAAAATCAGCCTCGTAGAATTTATCTCTTGTCGATGAAGCTTGCCTAGACACAGCCTTGCCATCTCATGTGCTCTATTATCACCCGGCTTTCTCATGCTTTTACTGAACATTTATATTTTGTTTCTGCTGCAGCAATTCGACAAAACATATGGACCAGGATGGCAATGTGTGACAGGCGTTAGCTTCGGCTCCTACATCACCCACTCATCGGGCTCCTTCATCCACTTCTGCATAGACAGATTGGCCGTCATGCTCTTCAAAGCAGCCACTTGACCGTCTCAAATCACCGTCTTAGTATTCCATATCCAGATCTACTGAACCGAGATCTACACCGGGCAAGGCTCCGCATGCACCCACAACTACCCGATCGACGAAGTCAATCGCAGCCGTGCGGGTATCGACCACGGAGTCCACGGAGCCACCTTTTTTTGCTCGGTGTAATCGAGCTATTCCTGATAATATTTTTTCCCCGTTTCGGTGTCCAATGTATGTAGTAAACATACAGCATCACGAAAACCCCATGAAGACCCTGGAGGCATCATCATCATCAGCAGCGGCTGGAATATGCGTTTTTATTTTTATTTTTATTGCAAAACATGAAAGAAAGGATTGATTACCAACTATTTTGTACATACTACGCTGAATGTTTGGTTTCAGTGAGTGATCTGCGCTGTGAGATGCGCACCCCCGAACTTTATCACCGTGCAAAAATCGTGGCACCGACGAGCTTGAAGGTTTTGACTTGATCGTAAGAAGTCAGTGTGTGTGTGTGTGTGTGCGTGTGTGTGTGTGTATTCTCGTTTTCTTTTGAATGTTCCTTTGCGTTTACTTTTAGGATTTGGTGCGGAAAGTCGTTTTGCTGTAAGTTTGTATATACTGAAAAGGATCTATAGGCATTTTGGTGTGAGAATGAAGGTGGGTGGTTCCGAAGTGAAGCTATTCGATTATTCACTACTCTTCTTATTTCTGTTGAAATTTATGTGATTGTGTATTGAATTCAATAGAACATGATGAATTGGTGTATTGGAGGATATATTTATGTTTTTACTTTTTTGAAAACTTTTCCTGGATTGAGTATGCTTTCTGTTGTTGGTTGTTGTAATATTTTAAGTTTGATTTTCTTTCTTTTCTTTAAAAGTTTAAAACATCTTTTATTTAAGGAAATGATTTTTTTTTATTTTTTTATTATTATTAAGATGTTTTCACTTGAGAAATTTAGTATAAAAGTTTGTAAATTTATATGTACAATGTGTCTTGGTTGAAATGTTTTTCTGAATATGAATTTACATTTCAACTGAAAAACCGTATAACTGAATAATTGATGTGTGCTTATTTATATAAATATAGCCGCTCATTTACAAAACAGTCTTTGTTTTGAACATACAATGTTGTTTCTTATATTTCTCTTATACATATCTTTTAGTTGCATCCAATAATAATGTGCGATAATTTAGAATATATGTAATAGTAAACTCTTTTTAACAAAATAATCAGTAATTATTTTGAATTTTCTTAACAATTAATTATTTCAATATAAAAATTAGCATTAGAAACAACCACAGTATTCTGACATATAATAAAAGTTATAACTTAAAGTTTACTTCACAACAATTTGATAGATAAAATCATTTTTCAAATGCATTTATCTTCATCAAATTACTAAATAAATACATTTGAATTTTTAAGAGATAAGATTAGAGAACTGTTGCTATGCCATAAATTAACATAGTTTATAAAAATCAGCTAAGAATCATAACATATTGTAGTTTCCTAATATGTGTTTTCATTATTAAGAAAAATGTTGAGAAGCAGATTGAGTCCTAGAGAATAATTAACAATTAAAGAGTCAATTTAGGATTTAATTTGGTAGGCATGTTTTTAGTAAGATTAAGAATAAGTTTGTGTATTTTAGAAGAAAGAAATGCTATAATTTGTTGGCAACAAAACTTTAAAGGGGAAAGAGTCAAACTACATTGTTATAGGCTTTTGTTTCTAACATTGGACATTAAATAGTAGATAGGAGCTTGTAGAGATGGAATGGAGGCTAAGGTAGTGGGGTGGGGTGGCACCTTAGAGGTATCAAATTCATATGCTACCACTATAAAGAGTGAATAGGGGAAAATTATACCTTCCAAAATCTTCTATTTATTTATTGACAATGATTTAAGAATTGGCTCTACAATGCTTGTAGTAAGGAATTGTGTTGGATGATTTGTCACTTATCAATGAGAGTTGGTAATGTTTATAGTGCAATGATATCAATCCTCCAAAAATCTTCAATCATTTTAAAAATAAAAATAAAATAACATGGGTGAAGTTGATGACCAAAATTTTAAAAAGAAAATTTATTTTATCTTGTTTTGTTTTTTGTTTTTTTTTTTTTTTTTTCTAACCTTCCAATCAACTACAAACACATCTAAAGTCAAATCCACATCTATAAAACTTCTAAGAAGTTTTGTTACAAAATATTATCAAATCTATTTACATTTATCCTCTACCTAATACTTCTTATTTAGATAATTATGTATGTCTGTGACAATATCTATGTGGTGGTTTTTTATATTTATTAAGATCACACGTAATAAAATTATTGTACATATATACACACATATATACATTCTTGTTATATAACTAAGCTTAAAATAAATAATATACTTATAAATTTTATTTTTTTATATTATAATTTATTTTTGCAAATATTGTATATTATTCAAAAAACTAAGCTTTTAAATTAAATATAAAAAATCGTCAAGATATTATTATATAAATAAAATAATCATTTAAATTAAAAAAATTAATAGTTCTAAAAAACTTGATACTGCTAATTTAAAAAATTATTTTAAAAATTAAAAATCAAAGTAAAGTTAGTTGCAATCCCAACTTGTACATGTTTTAGAAATCCTTAATACAAATGAATTTTATTTTAATTAAAATCTTTGATATAAAAATATATAATATATAATAAATAATAACTAAAAATAAAAATAAAGTATTTTTACTTTGTAAACTATGTATATTAAAACTATTCAAAAACTTCAAGTACAATATTAAATTTGATTAGTTTAAAATAAGTTGTAATTTAAATGTTTTGTAGGAGAATAAAATAAAATAAAATAATATTAGCAAATAACATGCAATGCCATGTATATGTATATATATATATATATATATATATAAATTTTGATGCTAAAATTATTATTTTATGTTAGAACTTAAAATTTTATATAATAAGAATAGTAATAATAAACTATTTTATTTATATAATTATTTACAATATATATATCTATATATATATATATATATATATATACTATATATTTTGTATTATAATGTTAAAAGAAATAAACATATTAAATATTATTCTTTTTATCTATTATAAATAATAGAAATTAGATTTTAAACTTGTCAATTAATAAAGGTAAAAATATTTATATACTTTATGATGTATTAAAATTGCTATGCAATATCTTTATATATAACTATATGTTTTATAGATGAATGTGATAAAATACTATTATTTTAAAAAGTTAACATAATATAATCTAAAAAAAGTTAGATAAAGTTAAATATAATATGTAGTTGATAATTTAAAAAAAGGGCTTGTAACATAATTTAAGCATATTCGAATATTTCTAAAAATTTAATATTTTAAGATTATTTATTAATATAAAGTGACAAATACCAAAACCTATATACATTATTCAAGCCAAAATCAACTTTATATGCACTTTAGTTATTGAATAAATAAAATTTATTGACAAATAAATTTAAAATCAGTAATAAATTTACTCTTTAAAAAATAATTATTTTTACATTTGAGAAAAAAATTGTAAGCCACAGATGTGTAATAGTTATGAAATATTCATTAGTAATTATATCATTTACTTGCATTAATTATGTTGAAAGAATCAATTTAAAAATAAACAACATACTTGTTCCATAGAATAATAAATAAGACATCAAAATTATGAATGATTAGCAGTATAATAGTATGTATATCATATTATATTAATAAAATTCTCAAATTTACTATTTAGATATATGCACAAAAAATACAATTTTTTGCTTAATTGAAGATAAAGAACAAAAATATTAGTTACCTATATGTATAGTCAAACTATATCTTTAATTAAGCAAAATTATATATGTATAGTCAAACTATAAATTAAAGAAGTCTATTGATTACTTTCAATTATTATTTTAAAGCAATGAAATTTAAAAAAATATAAATCCAATGTATATATATATATATATATATATATATAGGATACATTAGATTAAAAAAAAATCCGTCATCATCAGTGGCACAACTTTTGAGAATAATTACATAATTTCCCCATTACGCTCCACTATTCAGTCTTTTGACACTTCACCCTGCATGCAGCAAGTGGAGCCTCCTCGCGTTACCACACTTCTATCTGCCAGCACAGCTACATTCGCCACTGAACTGACGCATTTTCGTGTATCTTCTATTACCAATTCCAAGACAAAATTAACCAAAACATAAAATAAATACACATTAATGTATAAAACTAACAATGTGGACATACCAGTGTTTGCAGGCAACAGCAACTGCAGTGCAAAGGTAAGTGCAGAAAAGTGAGGAATGGAGCTGAAGACGACGTTGAAACAGTCAAGCTTCGGAGCACAGCAGGGGTTAAGCTCTATACTCTCTCAGCCAGCATCAGTGCCAGAGCCTCTGAAACTTTGGCAACTGGGTACACAACAAAGGATTCAAAAGCTTGGGGATGTCAGAGCATGCAAGCAGGACACCTGATCAAGTCATTAAAAAATAAAAATACCAACACCAATGCTGCAGGCCTGCCTTTGCAGCTGCAATAGCCGCCATTGCCCAGCTTCAAGCTACAACGGATACTTTCCGTGCTCCAGTCGTCATCTTCAGCTTCGTCCTACTCGACTGGTAGTCGCGTTGCATTGCTCAAATGCTTGGTCTTGTTGCTTGTTAAGTTGGGGTGGTGGCCACTGCATGCATCTGGGTTTTTTCTTATTGGTGGAGCTTCAAACTGTTGTTCACCACTTGTGTCTTGGTTCAAGGAGTGCTTCCATCAGAGGTTGGTTTAGTTGAATACTGAACTCGCTTCTTGAGTGGCCTTCTCGTTGGCATTGCTGAACTTGTGGTCTCGATGTGGAGGAATTTGGCAGCCATTGGGTGCAGGGGAGCTGTGGTTTCGTGTTCTAATCCAAGGGGGGAGTGTACATGTCTTTCGGAAATTGTTCGGAGATGAATATGTTGTGGTTGGGAACTCGGAATGATGATTTAGGGTGCATGAAGGCATGTTTTGTGTGGCCTTGTTCGGTCTTCTCTTGTTTGTTCACAGGTTACCCCAGCTGCTTCTCTCACAGAAAACAGAGGTTCCTACAATTCTATGAATGTTATTTAGCAATGCTATGATTCAAATGATTCTCAGTCCCTCACTGCATGCAAATGTGTATTTTACAGATCAAATTATTAGTCCGCAAGGATGAATCTATCACCGACAATCACGGTTGTGGTTGCATGGTTGGTGATCACCATCGCCAAGACCCAAGCACAAACAAGTATTCTCCCGCTACTTTGTTTCTTACGACTTGAACTACGAGAGTTTCATTCGTAGCTGTATCCGTGGCTTATGTTGCAAAATAATTAACAGTGTTCGAAGCCCGGAGGCCGGTATTGCTATAAATTTGTCCACAATGTCTAGCGAGGCCGGATTCTCTCCTTATTCGAATCAAACATGGTTTTTCGTGCAGGCGATGTGTGCCTGGGGATCGACTGCCAGCAGGGGACATGCGTTCCGCTCGGCAATACCTCGTACCCCTCCAACATCTTGTCTCCATACCAATGCTTGTGTAAACCAGGGTGGCAAACTGTGGAAGGACTTCTGAAAAATTTGCCCAATGTGCTGACTTTGCCTTGCACGATTCCCAACTGTAATTTCTCAATCTCTTAGAATTTTGTGAGGTCAGACGGTGTTCCTTAATTGCTCTTGAGTAAGTAAACATCCTACTGTGCTGCTGAAGAGTCGTGATTTTATCCTAATTATAATTTTATGCTTGATCTGGCAACCTTCACGTAAATTAGATATAGAAACTGATTCAATGTCTTGGAACGCAGGTACTCTGAATCTTGGATGCAACGGCTCGTCTGCTCCAACCGTCCAGGCTTCCCCTACAATGCAAAATGTTTCTAGCCGTAAGTTTTCCTCAATCTCAGGGAAGGAAATATGCTAAAATATACCTCTGAGGTCCAGTTCGGTCGTTGTAAACCTACACTGTCGATACATAACATACGACATACCCAGTTCTCAGCGCTAAAAAGGTTCCAGTGAATGACCTGAACTTCACAATGAATCCTTGTGTTGATTCACGCGTACGATTTTTCTTCAATGATAACGCCAAATGAGACCCCTGTAAACTTCAAGTTAATTGTACAGCTTTCAGCCACTGGATGTGCCGAATCACATGTTTTTTTCACTCCGTAGTCTACATGGGCTCTGCTCACTTCAACTGTGATCCCTAACGCTGTTTGCCTGGTTGTTGCAGCATGCTCCTTGCCTGGAATTTGTGGAAATGGGGGATGTGAAGTCACGGATATGAATAAGTATCCCCCCACGTACAAGTGCACCTGTGCAGCTGGATATGCTAATGTCGGCAACCTTGCAGCTGGCTATTGTCTTAAGGACTGTAAGCGCTACTTCCCAGGCCCGAGGCACTTGAGTGTGATAGCGAAAATATAGTGTATAGATCACTGATGACTGGACCATCTCTTCAACATTACATCAGCGTTCAGCGATAAACTTGAAACAACCTTCCTAGACTCAAAATTTCCATTTGAAGCCAGACACTTACTGCTCTATCCCAAATATTGCTCCTTTACGATTCAACCTTGGCTATTTTAATCTAAAAATGATTAACTTTTCTGCCGGTTGAAAAGGTTCACGAGGCAAATGCTTTTCCTGAAGCATAGCATCATATCCCTTGCAAAATAAAAACTATCTGCTGATTCTCCTACGTCTTAGCATACTTTGGGTATTCCTCCCTCTAGATTTTAGGGTGTAGGAATGCATAAAACCTTTTAGTGCACGAGGACGGTTTAGTCATGAATAATTTTTGATTTTGTGTAGTCAGAAAAAATTTACTGACACTTTTTGATGTGATGCATTGGTGATTTCCAGGTGAAATTGGATCCAATTGCCGAGCAATAGGCGTAAGCCTACCTCCCACAAATGCAGGTACACTTGCGGTTAAGCTTTAGTGAATGCTTTCGTCACTGTTACCTGTCCCTTCCAATTGCGGGAATTGAATTATGTCGCAACGTAGGTTGCAATGTCCGTGAAGATTCGAGAGAACCCTAATTTTCTCAGTTTCTTTCCCAACATACCGCAGCGTGGGATTGGAAACATCTTAACAAATCCTAGTCGATTTTCTTCAGACCAGCTACAAACCTTATACTAATCTAAGACAATGACGGGGTTCTTTGCAGGATCAAGGCAGGCTATAGATGTGAGCGGCATCTGGGTAACTTTATACGTCCTAGCTGGCTCATGTCCAGCCCTGTTCCTGTGACATAAACACACATCATGGTCGAGCTCTTCAAAAAACATGTGGTCCGATCGGCCATGTGGTAGTTTTCATCAAAGATAGTGCTGAGCAGTCTAGATAGGGGCGTGATCGGTGTACATGGGCTACAGAAACCCTCACGGTTGCAGCTCCGTCTTTTAGTGTCTAGGGCACCCAGAAGTGAATTCTGTGAAAGAATTACTATCATGCCAGTTGAAGTAAAGTATTTGCGTCTTTGCTAAAGGAGAAACACAGCATTGAGCTATGAAACAAAGCACTCATCGTCACTACCACATGAAGAGTGCAATGGGATGGATGCAGCGAGTGTTAGGACATTCTTCCTTCTTCATGCGGTTCTTCTATGCATACCCGGAGTGCCCGTATCGTACCACGATGTTACCTGGTCTTGGAAGGGGTCTTTCCCGGTTCGGATATGTGGATGAGTAGGCTAGAGGATGTAGGGTCTGGAAGGCGGCTCATGGATCTATGTGACAGCTAGATTATAAGAATGATGGCGTTAGCGTAGATGGCGTTCGAAGCGTGATGGGGATTGCGAGCGGGAGGGAATGACGATAGTGAGTTGGTTCAGTTGTAACTGACAACGTGAGCGACGGAAAAGATTGGGCTACGTTCAACTGTCGTCAACCGTCTGTGCGCGCGGAGCTGCCTTCAAAGCGCGCGAGCGTCTTTCATCTTGGCTCCATCTTCGTCTTCCAGCCTTCGTCTCCCACCGTTCTCCGCCGGTGGCTCCAAATATCTTCTTTCGTCTCCTTCTAATCTCTCGCTCGCAGCTTTCGTTGTTTCCTTATCCATTCCTTCAATCTTCGATCGCCAGTCGCCGCCTTCTCTGAAAATATTGACTGCCGTGTGGACAACTATGTTGCATCTTCACTCTCTCATTTGTCGCGGCCGTCGTCTGCATTGCGACGCTTGACAATTTCTCTTCACTTTACTGCGGTGTCATATCTCCTGCTTTTGTTGGTTTATACCTTGTCATGGCAATCTTCTGAACTGTGAGGGTTTGCGTTAGGTCGAGTGTCTGACTGTCTCGAAAGTCGGCACAGTCTTCATACCTTGTTTTCAACCTATCCATTTACTTGACTCTATTAGTGAACCTTTTGCTAGGATCACTTCATAAATGTAGACTGACTTTGATTATCCCTCAACGATTGTTGCGAATTGAGTTTGCAGCAATAGTGCTATTCTTGTCTGCTAGTTGTGTGCTTGTTCCACATTGAAGTACACGCATGGTGTAGCTTTACGTCATCCTCTCTGCAAACTGTTCACAATGGCCGTTTGTTATTTCCGTTCATCAGCTGGTGCCAATTTGAGATAGACTCTGATATAGACTTTAGTTATCGAATTATGCCACGTCTTCTAGTGCGTGGTCAATCCTGGCTATGGTACGCATCAGTCCCGACCGTGATAAGTTGGTTTTGTCCAATCGTGTAGCGACTGTTCCTAGTTTCGCACCATCACGTATGTCATAGATCCTGTCGGGTTTTTCTTCGGTGCTTGATACCTATCTGTAAGCTCATGGCGCCTTGAACGATGATCTAATTAAGTTGTAGCTACTGTTCAGCGTTAGTGACAGGAAGGTGGGAGAAATTTTCAGTCCACAATTCAAGCCACTCGCGCCTGTGATTTTTGCCGGCTGTAGTACGAAGCTGAACTGATTTTGGTAAATTCTTATCTCATTTGGAAGGTTGCTATCTTCTTGTTCAATCTAAAATGGCACGCTAATTAAAACGGGAGTCTCATCATAGTTTTGAGAGTTCACACTTCATGAAATATCGAGAACACTGGGATTAGATTGGTAAAATAATAAGACCGACACGAAATAGATGGTGCACTTCTGAAAGGTCTCCCGACAGGGTACTTACGAAAAAGTAGTCTGCATCTGTCTACATGACGCTTCGTACACTTTCCGAAATATTATATCACAACGCGGCGACTGGACAACAATTTCACTGTGTAAGTGAAGGAATTTGTGAACATGAGTGTAAAGAACATGAGACTAGATACTGAAAAAGATAAGAATTGTTTAGACACTACTCGAGATTTGTCCTGTGGCATTCAGATCTCGAGCAGTCTGCAAACACAACCCTCCTCTTACGCGTGTTGTACATACACCCTAGCATTAAGATAGCTTCTGTCCTTTCGAGTCCACACAATCTCCTTATCCACTCCAAACGCCCACCTATGCCGTTCTCATCGTCACCACTTCTTTCTCCAGTGCCAATCTGAAAGAACAGGCCAAATACGGCGCTATGCTTTCTCAACTATCATTATTCTCAGAAGCGAAATCACTCAATTCTTCGTGCTCATTGTCGGATCCATGCACGCCCCTTTGCTCTCAACGCAATCTTTCTCTGATGAATTCTGGCAACCTGTGTGGAAAATTCTGCAATGATATGATCACTTCTTGGCTATAGCTCTGCTCGACGATGAAAAAGCTCTTAATTCCTCCTGCTGACTGGGAAGCTATGTCTAGAATACTCTTAAATTACACCTCCAAAAACGGTCTTTCACCAATGGCAAGGGACATATTGCCTCATTCCTTTGCCACCCTGCCCCCTATACGATTGGTTCCTCAAATTCCGCATCCATTAAAAACAAGCCTCCCAAGGTACCATAGCAACCTTTCATCTGATCTTTCGATAGAACAAACCAAGAAACGACACATTCTTCAGAATAGCGTCAAAAGATATCTTCCTGTTAATCATCTGAGCAGCACGAATAAAAACAATTTGACAGGCTACTTACAGACTTGCAGTTGGTGCACAAACATGCCGACTCGAATGTAGTAAGTAGATCTAACCACGAGAGTTTGGTGTGATCTCTGCAGTTTAAGCTAGTGAGCTGGTAGCAAGGGGCGATGGCGAGGCATAATGCAACAAAGCCTGTGACACTCATTCTTGCTGCACTGATGGTTCTTTCAGCCACCGACAACGTCGAAGGTCGTCATCACGTCAGAGATGGAAAAAACTGGCGCAAAGCTCATGCAACTTTCTACGGGGGTGCTGATGCTTCAGGAACTATGGGTAACTCTCTTCAACCTCTTGTTCAACTTCGGAGGCGTCCCATGAATCCTTACAAGTAGTAATTAAAACTTAAGTTTCTTGACAATGTGTATCCTTCCTATCTATTTGGAACTAAACCATTCCTCTGCTCTGATCAGAAACTTGAATCAGCTGCAAAGAGAATAAGACGCAAATATACATGTATCAGAAAACTAACGAAGAGGACTACAAATTTTGGATCTCTTCCATGTAGCTCTTGTCCATAAGGCACCACCTTATGGAGAAATTTTTTTTCGAAAGTTTTGAATTCAGAGATCGGTTGACTAAATAGTAACCTTCGAATGTGCAGGCGGTGCATGCGGTTACGGAAACCTCTACAGCACTGGCTATGGAGTCGATTCGACAGCTTTGAGTACAGCTCTTTTCAACAATGGGGCAAAATGCGGAGCTTGTTTTGCGATCCAATGCTATCGTTCACAGTATTGCGTTCCAGGTTCACCTGTAATCACTGTCACAGCTACAAACTTCTGCCCTCCTAACCACAAAGGTGATGGCACGCCAGGATGGTGTAATCCGCCAATGCGTCACTTCGACCTTGCGCAGCCTAGCTTCACCAAAATCGCTAAGTATAGAGCCGGCATCGTCCCCGTTCTCTTCAGAAGGTGTGCATTGCGTTGAAGACTGATTTGTAAATTGTGACTTTAAGCCTTAATTACTGAGGATGGAGACAGCTGTGCAATCACTTCGCAAATTAAACCATGCATGTTTTTAAGAAAACAGAAACGGCAGAACAAACCGTCAGCCAATTGAAAGAGATGTTCTGAAACTTAGTAAAAGAGGTTGTCTTAGTCCTGTTTGGATTGGTAGTTTGATATTACGAAGTCCGTACTGACCAAAACTTTGTTATATGCCTTGCACAATGCAGGGTACCATGCGAGAAAAAAGGTGGCGTCAGGTTCACTATCAATGGAAATAAGTATTTCAATCTCGTCCTAGTTCACAATGTTGGTGGAAAAGGCGATGTGCACGCAGTAGACATCAAGGGATCCAATACAGAATGGATTCCCATGAAGCGAAACTGGGGAATGAACTGGCAGACAGATGCTGTTATGACTGGCCAGGCACTCTCCTTCCGAGTGACAACCAGTGATGGTAAGACCATAGTCTCTATGAACGCAACGCCATCTCACTGGAGCTTCGGCCAGACCTTCGAGGGAGGTCAGTTCGCTATGAATTGAATTCTGTAACCCCAAGAGCGGTGCCACTCGATGAATGCTTTAGGCGAAGAGTTGATCCACAAGGGAACCTAGACGCAGTTGAGTCTCAATCTAGCTTCATGATATTTGTTGATACCTATACTGGATACCAATCGGCGTCTTGAATCCTCAACATCTACCTTCCACGCTTTACCCAGATATCCCGAGATCTGGCCAACGTGAACGGTTTTGAAATTTACCAATATCAGTAGCACATAAAACCCATGGGGTACAATGATTTGTAGGTAGTGCGCAATCATGGGGATCCAGGATGTATTGCCAAAGAAACGCAAGAATTATCTACATTTGACAATAAAAAGTTTGGCGGAACTGTAAACAGTGATTATGATTGGATCCTTTCGCGTGGAGACTCAGTGGTTTGTTTATTATAGCAACGAGATATCACTCACAGAGATGCACTGTCACTTGACTTGCAGCGTATTCTTTTAAAGAATTACTTTAAACCAGCGAAGTGAGAATGCTTCACGACGAGGTCTACGCTGTTTGGGACCCCGATCTTGGTCGTCTCGTCTTTCATCAGTATGTCCTCAGTCCACTATATCGGTCAGCACGACTTGGGATCCTGGCCTTGGTCTATTAATCTCGCGTCAGTATGTCAGTCACTGCTACTGGGGGTCCTACCCTTGGAATGCTAATCTCGCGTCAGTATGTCCTCAGTCCACTATATCGGCCAGCTCTACTTGAGGTCGTTCCACTACCTCGATTTCTGAACTATTTTCCAAGCTTTCGATCTTGATCTGGACAACAGCGTATTCTGAGAGGACGTTACTGTACTAGAACTCACCGTTCGTCGCTGGGTGTAGACTTCAGCTCACTGTACACGCAGTTTGGCATCTTCCTCGTCTCTTGAAAGTCTTGAAGAACTAACTCATGGACGAAGAAGATCATTGACTACAGTTAGTCATCCTTGTGCAGAGGCATGTTAGCCTTCAAAGGTGTCGTTAGAGTCCACCGAGCAGGATACGGGAACCCCTTGGGTGCTTCCAGGTGTAAGTGCCACACCATGACCTTGAGACATCCAAGTGGTCGTCCTTCCATGTAGCTTTCATCCGGCACGAGCTGCTCAATGAACGTCGTCTCCTGCACATGAAGAAAGCCGAAGGAAACTGAGAAATAGTCAGAATGTGTGAAAAACAATGTGTATTACTCCAGAAAACTATACAAGTGCACAGATCTAACGACACCTTTGAAGACTAAATGATACAAGAAAAATGTAGGCACGTTGACGTTAGTTTTCTCGCCATGGTTGCTGTGCCTGTAACATGATCATCACTCATGCAAAAGAGACATCCAAAACCGCTATCTGTGCAGACCGACCTGGAACCCTTCTCTGATGGTGTCTCGATGCCGGATAGGCTCCGAAGTGGGCCGATTCCACCGGCGAGGATCCCACAGTATAGTTGAGTTGAAGGCAAATCCAGACATGTCCACATGAAACCGTCTCAGCCTCTTTCTCCTCTCGCTAGTATGCCACCCTAGGACTTTCTCACCTTCACAGACGGGGCCCTCAAGGATGGCCCTCGATTTGCCCGGCGCCATCAGTCCGACTAGCCAAGTGCCGAAGCGCCTATACAAATACCACACACATCATATATCCATTAAGGAAAGCAACGTCGACACAAATAAAAATGAAGACATGGCAAGCTATTCACAAGTGATCGATTTGAACGACCCCTAGAGTGGCTATGGAAAACTGTCAACCATTGTCCTTGTTTGATGCTTTGAGCAATTGAGAGAGCGATGAAAAGACAAGGGTTCGTACGTGATATTCCTCATCTGCTCAAAGAGCTCCAGAGTGTAAATGTTGTCATCGTCCGCAAAATACACGATGCCGTCAAGCTCGTGTTGTTCGATGTGAGCTAAGGCGGTGTTGCGCTGGTAAGCCTCACGATCCTTCACATTCGTAAGGACTGTATCACACACGAGGTGTCGGTACATGATTCCAGTCTCACGTAAGAGCTGGGATGTCTCTAGCGACTGGTAACGCATTTCCACAACCAACCACAGTAAAGGTGGCGGGATAAGCTTCAAAGTATGTGCTAGCCGTGTCAAGTAGTACGAACCGAACGGTCGGACGTATGTTGGAGTTACAATTATAAGCAGCTTCCTAGGCTCCAGAGGCATATCAAAATTCACATCCAAACCTGACGATATATCGAGAAGGAGCACATTAGCATCACAAACAGACGAGGTCTTCAATCGAAAGAAAAGATGGGGGATTGGAAACCATTTTTCATATTCTGAAATTTCACAGTCGCTGTCACGGGAACTCACACCGATCTCATGAAGGCGACTGGGTGTGAACTGCCAAACTTTAAAATAAAATAAAAATAAAAATAAAAAATCTCGCTTCTTTCTAAGAAAAGAGTTTCACCAGAGTGGCACCTGAGAAATTCCCAGCGCCGTTCACACTGATCATGTCCTTCCTTTTCGTCACATTCTCCATCCCCGCCAGTGCATTCGCAGCTTCAGATCTTCCAAACACTTCCGCCTCTGCGAACTTGCCATCGCCGAAAACAGATTTCCTCTCAACAGGCAGCGAGTCTAGCATCCATTTGTGGGGAGTAAACCACCCCAAACACAAGCCTACGGCGAAACATACCCCGAACTGAATCAGCAACTTCTTCCAACTGCTCATCTTTGCGGCTCCTTTCTGGCTAACTTCTGCTCTTCCAACTATCCTCGTGCGCACATACCAAGGAAACAGCAGTACAGCCTGAGCTTGAGACAACGCTACACTTCGCAAAGGCTGGCGTTGCTGCGAAGGAGCTGTGTTCCCAGTCGCAATCACTCTGGAATCAACGGTTTCCTCGGACGATGTCTTTCTAAAGGAAGCCATGATTGTGAAGAAATCGCTCCCTCTATGCCATTGTGAAACTCCACAACGTGCAGAGAGTTGACTCAAACCCTAAATCTCCCACTACCCCTTTCTCTTGACTTTCTTCCCCTCATTTGGAGCACCTGGATCTGAACCCATCATCCACCTCCCTGCTCTCTCTCTTACTCGTTTCCATTGCCTCTGCTTCTATCGCCACAATGAAACTGAAAGCGCACGTTCAACTATAACGCTCCCTCCGTCCTTACTATGTCTCCGTCAACACACTCGCATTGGAAACAAAACCGTAGAAAAGCGCTCATAGTCCTAATCTCTTGCGCTTACATGGCTCTGCTTATAAGCAATTCGGGTCCTTTGATTCGGCATCACAATTCGACATCAAAATTTCGTGCCTGGGAGGATCCGTGTGGGTGGCGATCACGTCACAAATGCACAGGTGAGTACTCATCTAAAGCAAGGACCACGCAAGCTGTCTAATCCTCTCCTGCCACAGCCAACGTAATAGGCGCCCTCCGTCTCTTAGCGGAACGCCAAATCCAATTTGATCACTGAAAAGCACGCACTAAGTGCTGATCACGTAGACCGCATCAAGAGAACACCGAAAAGTCTCTTCTAGCACTCCAATCTCCCCACTTCAGGTAGATTGCAACATACCAGGTGGTGCTGGCCCGGCTGTGTTTCAGTCAACTTATGCGTCGCTAATGTTGTGTTGTTCCGCTAATTAATCAACTCCTCTGCTCCGACACCACAGAACACACAAAAGTGAGACAGGATGCCAAACCACCTTCCGCAATGACTAAAATTGTCATATTTACTACCTTTTGTCTTTTTCATTTCTGGTTCTTTTGCGATCACTGTTCCGCGGTCAGCAATCCAGACGAAAGCTCTTGCGGAAGTGATCCTAGTTCTGTCCAGGTACAAGCTTCGTTCAGGCTACCAGAAACGGGGATTTTTCATGAAGCAACGATCTCATGTGCAACGAGGAAGAAAAATCTACTTCCATTTCTGTCTCGCTACAGACGAAGAATATTCACTAGCGCCGACAAGAAGTACCGGATAAGGTCACAGGTGGAGAGACCGTATCCGTGTCTCATCATTAGACTCCAGGCTCCAGCTGAGAGAGCACAAGGGAGGCGGGGGGGAGAAATATAGCTTCATTGCGTTGTCCCTGCACTCTGAAGCTTTCGTCGCTGCCAGCACCCGCTTACACGCCACGAGCCTGCAATCTTGGCGACAGCTATGGCTATGGCAATGGCGCAACCGATAGCAGTTGTGTCCACCTCCTTCTTCACCCCCCGTCCGTTCACTTCCTCCCCCGCCGCTGCTTCGCCGTTGCAAATCCGGCTCTGCCCCACCCCCCGACGGCTTCCTCTCTGCCGCGCGCAAACGAAAGGTAAGTGGCGCGATGCTCAGTGCCGTCTGTGAGTTTTCTTCTGCACATTTTGGGATCGTTGTGTAGCATTCGAGGATATCTTTAGTTACATTTCGTGGTATCGTATTACTCGAACTTTCTCATCGCGTCTCGGAGCGCCTGAGAAGCCTCACTACGAGGTATCTAGTTGAAACCATCCGCCATTCTGCGAGGGGGAGGCATTCCCAGACAACCCATTTTTAAGGGTTGTGATGAGAATTCCAACTTGATGAGAAAATTTCCCGCGGCCAGACTTTATCACAGTTCCCTCATATTTGTGAATACAAATGGTTTGCAGCAATGGCGCCGATAACGTTTCACATCGGCGAGACCTCCCTCAGCATTCCCTTCTCTCTGGACTCAGCGAAGGGGCTCAGCGCTGCCATAGCTGACCTCTTGACCACATTCAGGGAGAAGGAGAAGGCCGAGAGGCCGAGACGGTGGGACAACATGGAGTACCGCCAGATCGAGGACGGCGTCTTCTTCGAGGTTTTCTGCAACCCTAATGCTCACGCCACCGCATTCCAGGCCAAGTACTTGGTCACCATTAACGATGACAAGCTGCGGATCGCCTCCGAGGGTCAGCTCAGTGCCCTCAAATCCGACTTAGACCAATACATCGACTCGCAAAGCTGATGAGAATATGTCGATTTCCTCCCGGCTCCAGAGTCAACTAGTTGTAGGAAACCTTGAGATTTTGTAGGCATGTGTGGATTTTTCAAGATCGTCTGCAATAAATGGGGCCTTGTTTTCACGGTTGTCTCTCCGCCCTCGGGTGCACTCAGAACCCACCATCTTTGCATGCCGCCACCTATGGAAGCATATCTCCTACTGTTTTGCTTAAGCACCACATCGATCACAAGGGGGGGAGGTGGGAGTTTGGGGGTGGAAAGTTGGGAGTTTGGGAGTGGAATGGTGGGAGTTTTGGAGTGTGGAAAGTTGGGAGTTTGGGAGTGGAATGGTGGGAGTTTTGGAGTGTGGAAAGTTGGGAGTTTTGGAAAGGAAAGTTGGGAGTTTGGGAGTGGAAAGTTGGGAGTTTGGGAGTGGAAAATTGGGAGTTTTGGAATGGAAAGTTGGGAGTTTGGGAGGGGAAAGTTGGGAGTTTTGGCATGGAAAGTTGGGAGTTTGGGAGTGGAAAGTTGGGAGTGTTGGGGTGGTTGTGAATGAGGTCCTGGTTTTGATGCAAGACGCAGCTTCCGAAAAGTGCATGCAACATACACACGCACTGACTCATGGTCATTTTTTAAAATTTTTTCTCTGTGAAATATGTGTACATCAGTGGCGATTTCTGTGGTTGAGCATGGAACTAATATTTGTGTAAATTTTTCATATAATATTTTTTTCTTTTTTTGGGTTTTTTAATTAATTTCTTTGTTTAGATTTGAAGGGCCGTTTTGTGCACTTCAATCCATATATATATATATATATATTTAGGTATCTTTTGATAATAGAAACAAGAATAAAAGTAAAATTTTGACCTATTAAAGGACTTTATTTTGTATTTCTTATTTCTTATTTCTTTTTTTCTTGTTTGTGTTACATACATTATATCTAAAAAGAAAATGATGGTAGCAAATTTTGGGGTTATTAAGTATTGGAATATTTTAGCACAAATGTATTTCATGTTTGTCTTTCATTTTTATAAAATTTATTCTTAAAATTTGTTGTAGGGATACTTTTATTTTTGAAGAATGTTTTACCAACATCATGTAAAATCCAATTAATTTTCTTTCAAAGCAAGAATTTCTCATGTGAATCCCAATTGATAAAGAAAAATTAAAAATTTAGCCAATAAAATACTCATGTTAATAAATTAAAAAAAAAAATGTCAAAAACAATGAAGTCTATAACTACAATTTAATATCTTTAAAAGAAAACTTTATAACAAAAAATTAGAATATCAAGCAAATTTTCATTGAAATTCAACAAAAAGATGGAAAATAATTTATTTTTGTGATAATTAAACAAATTGATAAAAAAAATGATATTAAAATTAGTAATAAGAAAATTGAATATTCAAATACACAAAAGAAGATATTGATTATTTTAAACAACTTGTCTATGGCTTTAATGAATGCAAAATATAAGCTATATGTCAGAGAACTATCACGAACATACATATTTACCTAGATAAGAAGTATGAGGTTGAAGATAAATGTAGGTAGATTTGATAATATCTTGTGGTGAAGCTTCTTAGAAGCTCCATAAACTCGGATTTGATTTTAGACGTGTTTGTAGTTAATTGCAAGGTTAGAAACTTGGCCAACAAATTAGTCATGTGTTGTACATATTAGTAGCTTGTGATACAAGCTAATTATGTGGCATGCATATTAGAAACTTATCTTGCAAATTAGACACATGTCTTGCAAATTGAACATGTGTTAGAAGTCCTATAGAATATTGCAACGTAGCTTCTAATTAGATAGTATATATAGAAGTAAGAATAAAGCTTTCTTCACTCTTGTCAACGCCTTTCTTGTTCTTAGTCTTGTTTCAAGAAACTCTAGTTTTTTTTGTCTTTGGCAATAACCATTTTAGTTTGATATTGTATCATCTTTGAATGATTATCTAGTTTTTTTAAGTGATACAAGATTGTATTGATCTTTTGGTTCTTTGAGATTTGTGTCATTGATAAGTGCTCAAAAAATTTCTTTTAAATAATGTTTTGTGGTAGATCAAAAGGCTCCAAGTAACCATTCTAATTATTACTATTATTATTATGTTAATAATTTCTTATAAAAATATATAAAAATATTTTTTATTAGTTCTTATTGTTAATAATATCTTTTTACAACTTGAAGGCTCTTTTAAAAAGTTGGTAAGGAATTTATCTACTAAGACAAAGCCTTGGCTTATATTGATGAAAGCCACACAAATACTATTTTATTAAGAAGATTGTTTGTTAAAGCCATTTACTTGTGTCATATTTATTATTTAATATTAATAAGATCCTAAAGTTAATGATTAAAATTGAAATATAATAAATTAAAATTAAAATTAAAATATTCTAAAATAATGAACATTATTCATTAATATGTATATAATATAATATTATTTTTTAAGAAATATAAAATATAAAATATAAAATCTTAAATTATTATATAATTTTTATTTTATTTTTTTGACTTAGAAGCTGTTTTTAAAATCAACAAATAAAATTTAAAAGAATAGTAACAAAACAACGGAATACCTTATCTTATTTTGACTTTATTCATCTAATAATATTATACCTAGGTTCAAAAATATTACAAAGATATATTTATATAATCCATAAATTATATCTTTTAAAAGTTTTATGAATTTTTTAAGATTTGAATTATATTTGAATCAATATACCTCTTAATTAAAGCAAATTCATAATATACTTCTTTATTATCCAATTTAATTTTTTAAAGTATAAAAAAAGGCAAATGTAGAGAATTTCTTTTGAACTTGAGTCACTTGGCATTTATATTGTATTAAAGTCTAAAAACAAGGATTCAATCATATCTTTTTAAAAGTTTTTTTTTTAAATAGATTTTAATATACTTATTAATCAAAATACTCAAATATTTATTTTTTATCTTGATACAAACCAACAAGAGCCTTTTTAAGTTGAAGAAAAAATAAATGTGTTTCTGATCTTACTTATATTTCTTTGTCAAAAGAAAAGATTAAATTTAGATCCAAAATTTTAATAAAAATGAACCAAAATTTAAAATATTAAAATAAAATAAAAAGATCACATTTTGAGATCCAAACTATTATCATGTAATATAAACTAAAAAATTTAATTAAAAGAGATATAAAACCTTATAAGACAAGACATTCTACAACCATAAACAATACAACTTTAAAAATACACATGTAAGTAATTAAAGTTTATATAAATTCTTAAAAAAATAAATAATGAAAATATTAAATCTCAAGCACAAAAAGTGATTTTTACCAAAATATATTTGGTTTATTTTTTAAGTTTAATTTAAATGAATAAATAAAATATCTTATCCTTCAAAAAAATTATAAATAAAATACTAAATTATGTAAGACATCAAATTTATAGAAGTGATATTCAAATATTTATTCTAAAAACTTCTACTTTAGAAGCATAACACTTAGATTTTTTTTCAATTAGTTTTTATTTCTTTTCTTTTAAATATATTTTTAATCCTAAATCAAGTACCAAAGTAATTTATTAATAAAAATATGTCAAGCCATCAAGAAACTTAAATCTTTAATAGTTTTTCTACTATTAATGTCATGGATATACATATTTACTCCAATAATAACCTATATGATTAGATATAAGTAAGTAAAAAGACATTAATTTTATAATATCTTTTAGACAAGCTTCATAGATGCAATTTTGACTTTACACGTATTTTTAGTTGATTGGTAGCTTAGAAACCTAGTCAAAAAATTAATCACATACTACACATGTTAATATTTTGTAAAATAAGCTAACTATGTGGTGCACATATAAAAAACTTGTATTACAAGTTAAGATACATATCATACAAAGTCAACACTTGTTGGAGGTCTTATAGAATATTTCCACAGAACTCTTAGTTAGATAGTATATATAGAAGCAAGAATAAAGCCTTCTTCTCTCTTATCAATACCTTTCTAATCTTTAGTCTTTTTTTAAGATTTTCTAATCTTCTTGTCTTTGACAATAGCCATTCTATTTCAATATATTACTATTTTTAGTAATTTCTTGGTCTTTTTAATTGACATAAAAGTGTATTGATAATTTCTTTCTTTGAAATTTATATCCTTGACAATTAAACAAGAGTGCTAACTTATTCTTATTATCTCATTTAAGAAATGAGTAGATTATCTCATTTTTATTGTTTTATTTTGAAGGTTACAGACTACCTATCTTTAAACAAATAGTTTGATTTTTTAACACCATTTTTTTCCTTAAATAAAGTAAATTACTCCTCTTTGTAGAAATTTTCATTTGATATTAGTAGTTGCAGATTACCCTCTTCTAATTTAATTTTTTGAATTTGTTTGAGTTGTCTATGAAATAAAAGATTATGGATACTACTCTTAATAAAAATAAGACTAGATTTATAACTATTATAAATCTTCACAAGCTTGTTAATATTCTAAAAATAAAAAATTTACATATTTCTAATAAAAAATATAGATGTACTATTCCTACACATATAAAAAGAGTCCAAAGTCTATGCCAAAAAGTTGTGCAATTGAAGGAAATAAGTAGATCAGCCTTACAACCAAATTCATGAAGTCTTGCCTCTATAAGCACAAGAAAGGCAAGAATTAATATACCCAAGATGTTTGATACAATAAGATTAAAATTTTGAAGGTTTTTGCAAGAAATTAAGTTCTATTTAAGGTTGCATATTTTTCAATAAATTAATAGATTTACTTAAGTTTGATTTATAGGAACACTTCCATCAAAAAGTATTCTCTTTTGGTTTGAACCTTTGATAAAAAAAAAGATTCACAACTATTCTATAATTTGAATTTATTCCTGAAAGTATTTATGGCTACATTTGGAGAAAATAATTGAAAAAAAATATCAAAGATCAAGCTTGTATTATTATAATAAGCATCATGTTCAGCCACTTTATATGCTGTTGAATTCCAAAATCTTGTTTGTAATGTGGATTGGAATGATAAAGCTCTTATCAATCAGTTTTAATATAAGTTAAAAGATAATGTCAAAGATTTGTTATTGGTAATGCCAAGATGAAATTCATTGAAGTAATTTATTGCTCAAGCTATTACATGCAATAATTGTCT